TCTATAAGAATAATCAGCCTACACTACCAGTCAAAAGTTTTTGAACAGTAAGATTTTTAATGTTGTTGTATTTATTTATTTATTTTTTAAATTCTCTTCTGCTCACCAAGGCTGCATTTATTTGATCCAAAGTACAGCAAAAACAGTAACATTTTGAATTATTTTTACTATTTAAAACAACTGCTTTCTATTTGAAATGATAGAAATTTTATTTAGCGTTGCAATTTTATTTATAATACTTTTATTTAGCAAAGATGCTTTAAATTGATCAAAAAGATTATAATGTTACAAAAGAAAAAATTTTTGACTGGTAGTGTATGTCAGCCTATAGTTTGATGTAAGGTAAACATTCATTTATTTGTGCTGTTTTTTTTTTTTCTTAAATATTATATAGTTTTATAGGAGGAGGTTTCATAGACCTGGAAAATTCATTTTTCAGAAGTTTTTATGTATAGACATCTGTTGTGGGTGTTCTTGGCCGTTTTTATGAGGCTTTTTTTTTATAGTGTTCATATCGATATCGGAATTATATTGTATCGACCGAAATTAAGAAATATATTGTGATATAAATTTTGGCCATATCGTCCAGCCCTACCAGCAACAACTGTTTTGATGAACAGTTTCAATGTTTTTTTGATTACTTTCAAAACATAGTACTTTAGTCAGTTTTGTGTTTTTCCCTCTAGCTTCCTTTGGTTAGTGTAAATCCTTTAGTGGGCCACTAGATTTAAAGTACACAGTATTTCACAATTAGTAAATGTTTGTGGTGCATGTCGCATTATCAACATTATATAATCTCCATATTGATTTTTATCACTGCTTTAACTAGCTGTGGAGCCACTATAGAGGGCGGTGCTGGGTTTTGGACGGAGTTCAAGAATCAAAAGACTAATTTTTTTCAGTGGATAAAAACATTTTTGGACTTTGAACAAGGAGGGCTGTGTTTATGAATTCAGAGGCTTCAAAAAGAGCACTTCGTCTGAGCAGGATCTTGTGAGAAACTTTGTGTTACTAAAGATATTTTATATCTCTTCCATTTCAGATTCCATGGCAGGAACAATTGATCAGGCCAAAATGAAGTTTTCGAGAATAGTAAGTTCTGTTTTTGGCAAACTAGTTGTCTTAAAACATTTTTGACATTTTAAGTACTTTAAATATATACTGTATATATTTCTCTGGAACTTGGAGCCTAATTTTTTCCCCCTCTGTTAATAGGTAAACAGTCGCTCGTATACCCGGTTCAATCAATCTCAGAATCCTGATGAAGAGAGCAGCCGTGTGGAGGTGAAGCTTTCTGTAGATGGTGAGGAGGAAATGGATGGAACAGAACAAGGACCCGTGCAACATGACACGTACACAAGATCCAGTCATTCTAGGCCATGGAACAGGTGGAGGATTCTGGTTTGGGTGGGTGGAGTGCTGGTCATCTTTTGTGTAGGTGAGTGTTTTTTTTTTTTTTTTTTTTTTTGCAGTTTATTCAGTTTTTTACTATATCTGAATAAATATCATGCAGTCATTATTATGTAATAATGAACCCTATGAAATCTATTTTATTTTTTCCCAAATTCTGTGTTTTCATATTTAAATAGCGGTCCTTTTTCCTTTTTTTGCATGTCACAATTTGATTAAATTCATCCAAATTTTGCCATATTCTGTGACATTCTACATTATACTGTAAATTCCATTTCATTACTGAAACGGATCCATTCTGCAATTCTGTCATCATTGTGGAAATCATAGGGCCATGTAAATATAAAGAAATGCAAATTAGAATATAGATACGAGTAGAAATTATTTTATGTTAGAAGAGATATTAAATTGGTTGCCAGGGACAATGGTCAGTTAAAACAAATGCTTGACCCCTGTGAGTGATCAAACAAAATTAAGTTTTTCAATGAGCCATGTAATAAGTTGTTTTTAGGAAATGTTCTCAGTTTCTACTGCTCATGTGAGAAACGACACTCATAGTTGTCCTTTTACTTTTTCCATGTCCCAGGTTTACTCATCGGATACTCTATCCACCGTAAGTCTGACTTGGCTCCCTGCTCTTCGACAGTTCCACCTATTCAAGAAGTTCCGCTGAATTATTCACCTTCTTTGGATTGGAGTAGCCTTGTTAGACTTCTGAATGATAAACTGTCATCTAAAGCCATTGAAGAGAAATTAAGGTAACTATAAATCATCAAATATTATTGCTCATTGTGAGAATTGTCGGTTTAAACATTAAAACAATTGTGATTGCTAAACTTAAATTACACACATCTGTTATTGAACTTCTCTGATTTTCTGTTCCTCTTCCATCAAGCGAGTTTTCCCAGAGTGACCGTAAAGCAGGATCATTTGTAGATAACAAGTTAGCTGATAATATCCATGATATTTTCACGCAACTGAATATGGACCCATGGGTTGATGAACACTTTGTGAAGCTACAGTATCCTGACAAGTCAGTATCAGCTACATTACAGCAAAATAAAACCTCTCAAAACACCTCAGTAACTGCATAAGCAGCACTCTAAAACAGCTCAGAACACCTTAGCGCTTGCGCAGCAACATGCTAACATGCACTTAACACTCTAAGAACATCTATGAATGCAATAAAATAGCAGCATGCTAACAAGTGTGTAACACTCTAGAAACCTATCTGAACACAGTGAAAATCATATAGCAACATTCTAAAAAGTGCATAACCCTAAAAACCATTCTGAACACCATAAAACACATATTAGCAACATGCTAACAAGCATATAACAGACTAAAGAAACTCTGAACACAGTAAAAACCAAATAGCAAGACGCTTACAAATACATAACGTGCTAAAAACTGTTCGAACACTAGAAAACCTGCATAGCAACATGCTTACAATCATATAACACACTAAAACCACACTGAATACAATAAAAAACACATAGTAACACCAATTTACACATAACACACTAAAAACATCTCTGAACACAGTAAAAACAAAAAGCCCAAAAAATACTTCAGTTTTTTACGTGTACACGCGTAACCTTTCAAAGTATACTCCATATGACAGTGTGCGCGAACGCAAGCGGTCGACATGCTCGATGCTCTAGAAAGCTTCATTTTTTGTCCAATATCTGTTCTATTGTTCTACAGAAGTTATGACCTATAAAAATGTCTTTGTACTCTTTTAAAGGGGTCCTATTATGCTTTTTCACTTTTTCAACTTTAGTTAGTCTGTAATGTTGCTGTTTGAGCATAAAAAAGATCTGCAAAGCTCAAAGTCCAATTCAAAAAGAGATATTTTATTTAACAGAGATCACTTTTCAAAAACTACAATGAGCGACTCGTTTGGACTACAACGCATATTTTCCAGGATTTGTGATGACACAAATATCGACGAATGAGCTAGAGAAGGCAACGAGTGTTATCACTATGTCGGAGACACGCTAGCTTTCCCAAGGCAGACGAACTTAGAGTGATTACAATCATTCGGGTTTAAATCGCACTCAAATTGATTTGGTTTTGACGCAATATTTACACTGAAGCTCGCAGGCGGCTATGGTAAGGGGCATGACATTTCCCGACCAGGCGCCGAGTGGTGCCAATCACAATACACACTGGCCCAGCTAACCAATCACAGCACATTTCGTATTTCAGAAGGCGGGCCTTCATTTGATACAGGAATTATTCGAGCCGTTCATGCCAGACTGGGGAGAGAGGTGTTGTAATAATGTAAAATATGTGAAAAATAATGTGTTTTTCGAACAACCTAGTATGAGAGCCTGTTCTAGTACACCCACAAAACAAAATCAAGACTTTGTAAAAGAGCATAATAGGACCCCTTTTAACTAAAGTTGCAACTCTTTCATAACCCTCTCTCAAAAGCACTTGTCACTTGCCCTCTATTGTTGTTGCAGTCTCCACTATTTTGTTTTAGTTGTTGTTCCGTCTCTAGTTTGAAACAGCGGCCTGGGCCAGTGATGCCACCTTGTGGAACAACTGATTAGTGCAAAACAAATTCAATGCGCATGTGAGACCTACGAAATGTGAGACCTATAGCGGCCTGGGCCAGTGATGCCACCTTGTGGAACAACTGATTAGTGCAAAACAAATTCAATGCGCATGTGAGAACTACGCATACAAAGTATGCGTGGTTACAAAAATCTTGTGGTGCGCTTACTATTACGAAATTCGCGTATACTTTTTTTTTTTCAGCGTATTTGCAAAAGTATACTTTGGGCTTAATTCAGCATGCTAACAAGTGTATAACAGCTAAAAACCACTCTGAGCACAAAAAAGCTGCATAGCGACACATTAGCAAATGCATAATATGCCAAAACCGTCTCTGAGCACAATAAAACATAGGGACATGCTAACAAATGCATAACATTCTAAAACCTCTCTGAAGATCGTAAACCCCACATGACAACGCACTAAAACACCTTTTGCAAATGCAATCATGGTTTTAACCTTTTTCTTTGGATACGTTATTTGTAATTGGGACCGTATTTAACTGTAACAGGTCCAAACCAAACAAAGTGTTATTTGGGTCAGAGGATATCGGAAGTCCAGATGGGTTCCTGGCTTACAGTGAAACAGGACGTAAAGAGGTGAGCCTTCCTCTTCCCCTGCAGGAAACACTTGCCTTTCTGTCTTTTCTTTTTCTTTTGTTAGTCAGCCCACTTTGTAGTTTCATAATTTGCATTCTCAAAACAATTATTTTTACAGGGCAGAGTGGTGTACGCCAACTATGGTCAGCTTTCTGACTTGGAGACTGTGCAGAATGAAACATACAGACTGAGTCTAAATGGATCTGTTGTACTGATGAGAGCTGGAAAAATCAGCATGGCACAGAAGGTGATTTTTGAGTAACAGATCAAAAAGTTAATCTTCCTTTTGACTATATACAGTAGTGTTTTCTTAGAGACTCATGACCATTTGTGTCCAACTCTATTAATAGTAACTATCTGGTACTTTTTGCTAGTGCTGATCCAATTATGTTTGTCACCACTGTAGGTTATGAATGCAGCTAAAATGGGTGCCATAGCAGCTCTGATCTACCCAGACCAAGCTGACTATAAAACAATATCTGGGGAAACTGATCTCTATGGTCATGTAAGTTATGACAAAGAATGATATTCATATGTTTGAGTTGAGTTTGTTTATATTGATTTTGAGTTGAGCTGCTATATTTAGCGTTTTAATAATTTTTTAATTGATAGATTAAAATGCAATTTATTTACTTAATAATATTTTATAATATAAATATTTTATGTATATATACTTTTTTTAAGATGAAGGCAAAGGCAATTTCTAAATTTGAAAAAAGGGATTCAATGTTGACTCCTATGTAGGGATGTAACGATTCACTCAACTCACAATGCGATATGATTCACAATACTGATTTCACGATACGATTTTCTCACAATTGTTTTTTTTAAGACAAATTTAAATGAAAAGGTGTCCTTTTATTATTGCTTGGACAAAATGCTGCACATTTCTTTGTGAAATTGAAATGTCAAAAAAACAAAACTAAATTAGAATTTTAAAACAAACCCTAAATCAAATAAATAAATACAAATAAAATAAATCTCTTCATATAAACAATTTAAGGCTTTGCCTGTGCTCTTTCCATTTCAAATTAGAGGCAGTCACTGTATTTTAATCACAGTCCAAACAAAGATGCTACATACAGTATCTCACAGAAGTGAGTACACCCCTCACATTTTTGTAAATATTTTATTATATCTTTTCATGTGACAACACTGAAGAAATGACACTATGCTACAATGTAAAGTAGTGAGTGTACAGCTTGTATAACAGTGTAAATTTGCTGTCCCCTCAAAATAACTCAACACACAGCCATTACTGTCTAAACCGCTGGCCACAAAAGTGAGTACACCCCTAAGTGAAAATGTCCAAATTGGGCCCAATTAGCCATTTTCTCTCCCCGG